CTGGGACCACAGGCACCCGCCACAATGCCCAGCTATTTTTTGGTTGCAGCCATCATTGTTGTTTGGCAGGCCCGGGCTGGATTCAAACCCGCCACCTTAGGTGTATGTGGCTGGCACCTTAGCCACTTGAGCCACAGGTGCCGAGCCATCTCATTTTATCTTTTAAGATTACCAAGAATTCTGCAGTCTGTGTCTGTGTTTGGCATCTATTGCGAATATTGATGGGGTGACGTTCAGAATTATGCCCAATTTCCATGCTTTGAAGAGTAACCTATACTTGAGAGAGTGAGAGAACTCCTTTTCAATCTTAGACTTCTTCTCTTTGACTTGACGTTGTATGTGACATTGGCATTATATGTAACATTGCAATTTTGTTTCCTGTGACCGTGAAAAAATTTTTGTTTTGTAGGAAGGAAAAAATACTATTTTTTTTCTCACTTATCGCAAGACTTATAGCTGACACACCTATAACAAAAGATGGATTGACAAGAGAAAAGCATAACAAGTTTATTTAACCAACATTTTACATCACACAGGTGCCTTCAGAAATAAAGACCCAAAGACCCAAGGTAAACCACACCTAAGTGTGGTGAAAGAAGTAGATAGTTGTTAAGAAACGTGACTGGACAAAAAGGGGAATGATCTAATGGTAATAACCTGGGAAGAACTGAGTCAGGCCTATTCAGATCCTTTTCTGTGTCTCTGTATGACACAGACCATCATGGGGCAAGACACCTGTTACATGAAGGTCTTCAGTGGAGAAGGGAGAAGCTCAGAGAGTGGCCTTCCTAATAAGCTTTATGATATGCTTTGGGGAGAGGGATTCTACTTTCTATTGCTTTAGGGAACAAAGGGCAGGAGGAAAGAGGTCAAGAGAAGGCCAGAGAGACCCTGTTGCTTCTATGGCCTTCCCAGTGTCTTTCAGTTCTAAATACTCAGCATGTCAAGGTGCCATACTTTGGGGTCCTGTGTTCTAAGCCCCAACACTTTCTTTTTTAAATCAAAGCCTCACTTTTAGTTATTCTTCTCTGCTTTTTTTTGACAGGAAAGAGACCCATCCTTTAAAAAGGGCTTTTTAGACTTTTAAATATGTGCTGTAGCCCATCCTTAACATCTTAAACTGTCTAAAAAAGCACATTAATCACAATGTTGACCTTACTGCTTATATCCTGTTGACAAATTCCTTACCACATTTACTCACAGAGATTTTGTCAATGGCAGGGCTGTCTGTGGCCCAAAATCAG